CAGAATCTGACTCTGAAGATCCCAGCTGCCCATGGGCATCAACGTTGATCTCTGTAGATTCCCCTTCTTCAAACTCAGCTTCAGAATTTGAGAAGGGCAATGATTTCTTTGCAGAATTTTGATGAATAATAGTTGGATTTGGTTCTGGGTACGCACTGTTGTCTTTTTTCTCGGTGTTCAAGCCATCCTCTCCAGATTGAGGCTTTAACATTTCAGGCTGAGTATTTTTGACATCAGAAGATCCTTTTGTTGGCAGTTCTAGAGCTGGAAAGGACAGCGACCTCTTAGCAGAAACCTGATCAATAGTATCTGGATTCTTTTCATTATTGGTTTGCACACGTCGGGTTTGAATGAGATAATGTGCAACTGACTTGAAGCCCATTTGTGATATCTGGAAAGTGGATAAAGTAGCTTAGATCTAACTTCACCTTCCCAAAAAAGTCTGAGCAAGAACACACGCTATTGGTAGACTTACCTTCCTATAAAGAGAGCCAGTAGGGGCCCATCCTTTCGCTTGCCGGCACAAACTACAGTTGCAAATTCCACGACACACAGGGCAAACCCAATTTGGATTCTCTATAGCTTCAAGCACATGCTCTCCGTATCTGCATGGTTTAGATTGAAACTTAACAACAAAAACACAAATAGAATGCAATAAATAATTAGAACTAAAAATTTTGAAACGCCTAGAAAAATAATATTCTAGCTGAAAGCTTGAAACATCAAAATATTTAGTGACATCCACATGGAAAAATGGAGAGGAAGGTTCTGAAGGCCTCCATATCAAGCGAAACAGTAGATAACATGTCCCCACTAGCTAAATTTAGGTGGCGTGAGCAAGATGATACTCAAAGGATTTTTGAGAGCAGAGACGATGAGGTCATCCTATGCTTATTCATGTACCTTATTGTAACTTTTAATCGATAAAATATTACATCAATTTGAGGTGTAGCATTTAGGGTTAGAACATCATTAGTCAAACTGGCTAGAATACTTGGATAGTCTCAATCATTGCAGACTGGCTAGAATACTTGGATGGTCTCAATCATTTCAGACATCTGCACTTTCTGAACTGAATATGCAGCCATAACAACAAGAAAAGACAAAAAGGAGCTACTTGAACTAACATTTTGGAATCAACCAGGGAAAGTGGCATGAACTACAAAATAAGAAGAGCATGTAGAAACAAAATTAAGTGCTTGAATTCTGAGGAAATATAAAACTATGGCTATAACAGATTTTCTGATTGCTTTGGTTGTTAGAATGCACAATTTATGTATTAAAATTAAAAAAATTACTGATATTGCAGGACAAGAGGAAGCACAGAGGTTAAGGAAGACATGTATATAACTTTAACAAAAATTTGCACCTCATATATAAACAATCTCCACAGAACTGTCCTTGGACCATGTCGCATTTGCTACAATGAGTACGATGACCAAGAGTTTTCTGCCTGCAACACAGCATCTTTATCTTGTCACTAAGTGAAATCAATTTAACTGCCTAAAGTCATAGTAAGTAATACGAATAAAAGAAGATTATGAAACGGCATATAGCTGGGTGGTAAGCAATGTGGAAGAGAGAGGAAAAATGGTAAAGGATGTGCTTTAACCATTAGAATACTATCACAATTCAAATGCGTCTAACATTAAAAAAGGAACAGTAATATACAGAAAGGTTATTGTAAAATGTACAGCAAGTTAACCTGAAGTGTTTGTTACACTATATTTCTTATATCACCATTGTTCGCAAATGAATGAAAGCTCACTGGTAATACTACAGCCAAAATAAACCTTAAGGCACCATTCCAATCAACATATCACTGCTTCCACCAGCTGTCCATGTTCTCAGATTAGAGGACAAGCAAGCAAGGCATCCTGCCTCTCACCACAACCCCAAGTGGCGACAAAGACATTATTCAGATCAACACAATTATGTAGCCCTTATGTTGAAAATGAAAAAGCAGTTGAAACAAAGATTTCCTTAAAAGTTTCAAGTTCTCAAAAAGGAAACATTCATTAAACAAGTAAGATGATGCTGAAGAAACTAAAATAACTTAAATTTTCTTTCCTCTAATCTAACAGACCCCTTTTGAAGTTTTAGGATATTTATGAGCTAAAAACCAAAACTACTAATGTTGGTAGCCATGAATTGTATAATTATGAGCTAGAAACTAAAACTACTAATGTTGGCAGCCAAGACATTATTTCTTTCCTCTAAAAAAACAAAAATTTCTTTCCTCTAATCTAACAGACCCATTTTAAAATTTTAGGATACTCATGAGCTAGAAACTAATACTACTAATGTTGGTAGCCAAGACATTATTCAGACCAACACAATGATGTAGCCCTTACGTTGAAAATGCAAAAGCAGTTGAAAGGGAGATTTGTTTAAACTTTCAAGTTCTGAGAAAGGACATTCATTAAACAAGTAAAATAAAGGTGAAAAAGCTAAAAAACTTAAAATTTCTTTCCTCTAATCTAATAGACCCCTTTTAAAGTATTAGGATAAACTAAAACTACTAACGTTGGTAGCTAAGAATTGTATAATTGAATTATCTTGTGCAATTATATCATACTTCAATTAAAAGTTCACACTGTTATAGATTCATATACTAATAATATAGTTTTCCATATACAGAAGATGGGATAGAAAAGATTCCCAGACCGGCATTGATGGCAAGTCTTTCCCTTGACAGGATCATAAATCCGTCTTCCATCACTCCCACATCCATCCACAAAAAGTGTCCAGCTCCTTTCAGTGTTTCCCAAAAGTTTCTCATGCTCTTCCGTATACACCTCTGATTCCTTTAGCTTCAGATGCACATCCTCCAAAACTTCATCTTTTCTTGCCAAAACCACTTCTGAATAGGACACTGGAGTAGTATTTTGCAACCTAAACACCCCAAAAAAATAAACAAAAACATTAACTAGTTTTGAACTTGCAGTATTATCCAAGAGTACAAGTTTCTTCCTTTCTCTTTCTCAATTCCATAAAAACATGAATAAATAAAAATAAAAGCTTTAGTACTTCAATACAGCCTTTAAACCCCAATGAAAAAAACTCCAAATTCGTTGCTTTCGATTTTTCTTGGAACTTGTTTAGTTTCTTGTTCTACTTAGGTGAAATAAGGATTAAACTAAACAATAAAAAAAAATTGCAAAACAAGGGCAACAATAAAATCACCTGGAGGAGCGGCGGAGGGGGCCAGATGGCAACAAGGAAGAGGGTAGTGGGGTAACTGGCGGCTTACTGCCGCTGCGGGGACGCCCACGCCTTGAGGAGAGATGAGAGTTGGAGTTGAGGAGGGAGTTGGACAGGTCTTTGAGACCAAGCTGTTGCATTCTTTCAAGGTTCTCTTTGATCCTTTCATCTCTGGACTGTTCATAAAGTGAGATTTTTGGGGTTCGGGTTTTGTTCTCATTGTTGGTTTGAAGATGATGATCAGAGTTGTTTGGTGAGATTTCTACGGTTTGGGTTTTCATTCTCACTGCCGGCATTGTTCTCTGCTCCTCTCTTTCTTCCTTGGGTGTCTTTTCAAGGCCTCTGTTCTCTCGTTCCCGTGTCTCAACGGTCGAGTTTCGAGCCCATTATGGGAAGTGGGAGAGGGAAAAGGGAAAAGTGAGCTGGCCAGTTGGATGCTACCAGTTTAAAAAAAAAATATCCGTACTGTACTGTTTTTACAAAAAAATTATTTTCAACTGCACTGCCATGTTCGGGGAATAAAGCCCATTTGAGAAGAGGGTCGGGCCTGACTGGATCCTTTTCTTTGTGGGAGATTTGGGCTTTATCTTGTGCTTATTGGGCTTCTGGACCCTTAAAATCAAGCTAAAACAAAAGCAACTAGGCTTTAAGACTCATGAAAAATTGGGAAATAAAGCAGAAATTGGAGCACTATCCCATTTTCATTTCGAGGTTTCTGGAATTCTCAATTATTTAACATGATTTGGTGATCATATAGTCCAACCATGGCACATCAGTTTTGACTGAAAATTATAGATTTGCTCCAAGTTGTGTAATCTCAAATTTTCTGAGTTACCAAACATCACCAAGGCTCCACCAGAACATTCTCAATTCAGCCTGCTGATTCCAATAATACCAACAAAGAAAAGAAAAAAAAAAAGAAATTAAATCAAGAGTTTGTATGTGACCATATAATATATAATCTAGGCTGCCACCTTACGTATGCCTAAAGAAAGGCCTAAAAGTTCATAAAACGTTGAGAAATTTACAGGATGTTGATCAACAACCATGCATCAAACGGTCCATCCCTTTACAAAACGGGGTCAAACCAAATGCAACTCCATAAAAACTCAAGTCTTGCAAGTTTTATCAAGTGGAATTGATTCTCTTTGCTCCTCCCAGCTAACAGGAAAGTAGTTTATATACTCACCTATTTGCATCTACGGTGCTTGGGACTTAAAAGCCTAATCTGTATCAGCTTTGATTGTGGAATAATAGGAGCTATGGCGGCCAGGGTGAAATATTCTTGGGGTCTTGCCTTGGTTCTTTTGTGCATCGTGAGTTTGAGCTACTCCGGCAACGCTGCCGATGCGGGGCTTGGAGCTTCTTTCGTCTTTGGTGATTCTCTCGTGGATGCTGGTAATAATAACTATTTACCCACCTTGTCTAGGGCAAATATTCCACCAAATGGGATTGATTTTAAAGCTTCCGGTGGAAATCCTACCGGCCGCTACACCAACGGGAGAACAATAGGTGACATCGTTGGTAAGCTCTTCTCTTTCTTTATGATTCAATATGTACTTATGTCATAACGAGTATATTGTAAATTGATAATATATAATCAAGTTGACAAGTAGATATACTCCTTGTTTTGCTGATTTAAGTTTGATTAATTTTTGATATATTGTAAATGAAATGATGTACTTACATATGAATTAGACTAAACTCTTTTGTTTTTATGTTGACAGGAGAAGAATTGGGAGTACCAAACTATGCAGTTCCATTTCTGGCTCCAAATTCTACAGGAAAAGCTATACTCTACGGTGTGAATTATGCATCCGGAGGAGGAGGGATTATGAATGCAACTGGAAGAATATTTGTTAGTTTTCTCTCTATATTTGTACACCTTCTAACACTATTCATTTCCACACAAATGTTTTAAGGAATTATAAATGTAATCTATTTTGCAGGTTAATAGGCTAGGATTGGACATCCAAATCGACTTCTACAATACTACGAGAAAGCAGTTTGATAAATTGTTGGGTCCATCCAAGGCCAAAGATTATATAACGAAGAGATCCATCTTCTCAATCACAATTGGAGCAAATGATTTTCTGAACAATTATCTTCTCCCAGTTCTCTCCATAGCAGCAAGGATTTCCGAGACCCCTGATGGTTTCATTGATGACATGATCAATCACTTAAGGGACCAATTAACAGTATGCAAATCCAATCACACATGCTTAATAACCAATGCAATTTCACTGGATAAATTTGTTGATTATTAACTAACAATTAATATGTTGTGTCTATGGTGGCAGAGACTTTACCAGCTAGATGCTCGGAAGTTTGTCATAGGAAATGTTGGTCCCATAGGCTGCATACCCTATCAGAAAACGATCAATCAGCTGAATGAAAACCAGTGTGTTGATTTGCCAAATAAGCTAGCGAAGCGGTACAATAGCCGCTTACAGGATTTGCTGACTGAACTGAATGGAAAGCTCCCTGGAGCCACATTTGTTCTCGCCAATGTGTATGACCTAGTAATGGAGCTCATCACAAATTATGAGAAATATGGTACTAATTAACCGACATTTCTAGTCTTTCAATATATATATATATATATATATATATATATGTCTTTTGTATATACGGTATTAGATTACAAAAGAAATAGAACTCTATCATTCCACTCATCTCAAAGTTGGAACTCACAACTTTTGAAATTATAGAATTGTATATGCTGATATGCCTGTATTACCCAAATATATATCTAACAAATGTGTGCTTTATGTAGGTTTTATAACAGCAAGCAAAGCCTGTTGTGGGAATGGAGGCCAATTTGCAGGTATAATTCCCTGTGGACCAACATCCAGTATGTGCAAGGATCGCGACAAACATGTTTTCTGGGATCCTTACCACCCAAGCGAGGCTGCCAATCTCATAATCGCCAGGCAACTTCTTTACGGAAGCACAAAATATATTTCCCCAGTGAATCTTAAACAGCTTCGTAATATTTAGCTGTACTGGTTTTCCTTCCATCTTTGGTGACTATTTTTAATCGTTTCCTCTTTGAAAAGTACCCAAACCAGATTGCTTGTTACGACAAGAGAATTGTTATTGTTTCCATTGTTTGCTTTGCTAATATTTCACAACCACAAGTTTCTTTTGTAGCTTTCATCGCTTTTTCAAGAACTTCCTTTTGTTTCCTTCTATGGTTTCCTGCTTTTCTTCCTCTCTTCATTGTCTTTTGTATCTACTTCCATGTTTGTAACACGTTTGAGACCTTGGAGAAACTTTCAAGCTTCAATAAATGTGTAAATGATTCCACTAATTTTTTTCCTTGGTGTCATGCAAGTGGCAGTTGCAGTTGAAGGTGGATGATCGGCTTTTCCAACAAGAAACTCATCCACAAAATGACCCAAGCCTGCAGAAAACCGTGTACCTACCTTCTTGAATAAATGCAATGACTTGTTGCCTATAGGCAAAGAAACAAACTAGCTGGCTTGATTGCTGTGCTGTGCCCTCTGTTTATCGAATTAATATGGATTGAAATTTGGAAAATACATCCAGCTGTCGTCCACACAAAGTGAACCAATTATCTGCCGACCGACCGCTTTTAAACTTTCCTAAACAGCATAGAAACCAAATCTTCCTAGACTTCCCTCCCTGGCATTCCATTCTCATCTTTCTTTTGGCTTGTCTTCTTCTTCCACCTTTAACTGTTCTTTTGCCTCTGTCATCCTAATTGCACAAGGAAGGAAGTCATGTTTCCTAAATAAATAGTTAAAATAGGTTAAAATTTAATCTTGAAATAAAATAATTCGACAAAAGCATTAATTTAGTCTCCTAAATATTTATTGACACAGGATGTCCTTTATCACATATACAATTATTTATTTTATCTAACTAATTAATTTTAAGTAATACTTATAAAAATTCATCAATTATTTTTAAAAAAATTATTTTTTTATTAAGTTCAATGAAATCTCTATATTTTTATTTTCAATTAAATAGATTTTTATAATTAATAGTTTATTAATTATTATTAATCAAAATATTATTTATCATTTTATATCATATGACATTAACTTGATAATATGATCATATTACATTTTATCTTTTACGTCAATACCATATTAATATAAAATAACAAGTGATATTTTGATTAATGATAATTAATCAATCATTAATTATAAAAGTTTATTTAATTAAAAACAAAAATATAAAAATTTAATTAAACGTAGTAAAAAATAAAAACTTATTTAATTTTTTAAAATTGTTCAAATACTTTTCAAGAATTAGACCATTAATGTATGCTTCCTCCAGATCTAAGGTCTCTATCAAAAAAATTATCACACATGGTTTTTACTAACCAAAAAAAAAATTCCCCCCCCCTGGGTGAGAAATTAATAAAAAAAAAAAAAGGAAGAAAGAAAATGAATCCTGTAAATGATTTGCTTTGGAAACCAGTTACACGAGTGAGACGGTTGTCATGAGTGAGGGCCTTTCGCATGTTGTTCCATATTAGTTGCTATCAATTATTACATTGTAATCATCATAGTCAAAACAAATTCTGTGGTGCATATGACAATGCCAAAAAGGCATGCAAAACCTCCTTATCTTGTATGCTATGACACAGATTTATGATGCAAAAAATCTCCCAATCCTTAGCTTGGCATGTAAAAAAATTGAGAAAATATATCAAAATACTGTACAATCATGATCACTTAAGACAAAAAAAACTAAGAAAAGATTACCAAAGTAATACCTTCTATATATATAATTATTAATGATGACCTATGGGTTTGACATGAACAGTAAAAGAATGAAATCTTATTTTAATAACAAAAATAATATCTAAAATGTATTAAGATTTCGTGTCATACAATTTAATCTAATTTTATACATAACATTTTGTTAAGATGATGTTGATGAATTTCGGATTTGAAGGGTTTAGAGCTCTTGACTGATTTACATTAGCAGAGGCAAAACAGACAAATGTATATAATGAATTAAGTGCCTGTGCGGAGGGAATCCTGAACTCCAGGAAAAAGCCAAAAAGAACAAGGTGAGAGTTGGAACAAGCAGGAGGGAAGTGAAGAAGCAAATGGAAGGAAATGTCAGTTATTATGGGCGTCCGAACAAAACAACAAGTGAGAGAAGGGAGGTGGGAGGCTGAGGATATTTTTTGTTACGTTGACAGCGACACATGATGTTGTGCCGGAGACACTTAGATGGCTACTGAGCCCCGCGCATGCCCACTGCGCTAAGGCCCCTCCGAAACCCCAACCTCCCCTCAGCCCCACATTCACCGACAGCACCGGTCCTTGACTGACCGCTGCCACTGTTGGTCTGCTGCCTCTTGACCCCACCTCCTTTACCCTTTCCTTTTGGGTTTATACGGTTGATAAGGT